ACACAAACACACAAACACACACCAACACACAGCTGTGGAACACATAGCAAATGATACAGGTGCAACATAATAAGAATCAGTGATTTAAATACAAAACACAGAAGCAGATATACATGTAAATACAGTTACAGAGCCTATAGATGGAGGCAGTTGTACTTATATGTAAGTGTCTCCCCCTGCAGGCTGAGGAGCGTCATGGCAACGTGGAAGAGCGCCTCAGACAGCTGGAGTCACAACTGGAGGAGAAGAACCAAGAGCTAGGAAGGGTGTGTGTGTGTGTGTGTGTGTGTGTGCGCACCAGCCCTGAAGGGTTTCTCTGACCTCTCACTATGATGTGTGTGTGTGTGTGGGCTGATGCTTCACATTAGTTGGATGCCTTGATTCTTGGCTCTGTGCTCCGTCATGCATACACGTACATACACAAGCACACAGAACAGACACACATATGGAGAGCTCTCCATTTTCCTAGTGCATTGTTGCATGAATTTGAACCAAATCCACATATATTGCTGCAAGCCCACCCCCCTGTCCCTCTACCCATAAGACTGATTGGCTGCTATCTTTAGACTCTGAATAATTCACGCAAGGCTAATTTTTCTCTCTCTCTGTGCAATCTCGTGACTATATTTAGTTAAAGGAGCCCTCTGAGGATGCAAATTTGTGTTTGTGTGTGTCTGTGTTAATTTCCTTTAATGAAATTACTGTAGAATACACACGAAGCACAGCATTTCCCATTTAAGAGAAGGCGTTTAACCCTTTCATCATCACGTAAATGACTGTAATTAAATCATTCTGACTGTGAGATCCATTGTTGGCCAAGAAGACCTATATCTGGCAGCTGGTGATCTCGAGCTAAATACACACTTCATCCTTTAATCCATGCAGAGATGCTTGATTAGCTGCATAAATACACCCAAATGGAGTCTGTGTCAAAGAGAAAATTGCTGATGATGTCATTCTCATTTGTCTGGTTCTTTCTCTGCTCATCAGGCTCGTCAGAGAGAGAAAATGAATGAAGAGCACAACAAACGCTTGTCTGACACCGTGGATCGTCTGCTCACTGAGTCCAATGAAAGACTGCAGCTCCATTTGAAAGAACGCATGGCTGCCCTGGAGGACAAGGCAAGGCCTGTGCACACACATTCATCTAAGTAGCAGCTCATATGGCTGTTGTTATTGCCTCACAGAACAAATGAATATACAGTAAAGCACATGTTCTACTTGGAACACAGATTTGTTTTGACATGGTTTCATGATTTTTTTGTCTAGAACTCCCTTATTCAGGACCTCGAGAATTGCCAGAAACAGCTTGAAGAATTCCACCACACGAGGGTCAGTAAGACTTAAATGAATCACCTAATCACTCAAAACTAGTGTCCTCACTTCCAACTTATATTCCCCCTTATTAGTAGTGCAATGTAATTAAGTAATGAATACACTTGGTGTGTGGTATTTCCATTTTATGGCACTTTATACTTTTACTCCATGTGACAGCTGTACTCAGTTGTTACTTTGCAAATGAAACAATACGTAAAAATAATGATGAATTGCTAAAATATTATAGGTTAAGTTATCCAACATTATACACGTTGAGCTTTTGACATTAGTTTTAACATTAAAAGTGCATACACCTTAAAGGAATAGTTTGACATTTTGGAAAGTATATGTATTTGCTTTCTTGCAGAAAGTAAGATGAGAAGATAAATACCAATCATATGTCTGTACACTAAACATGAAACATACAGCATAAAGCATTAATATAGCATAAAGCAGGAGACCTTCTATTGCATAATGACTCATTCATCTTTGATATTTATCTTGAAGTGCATTTTACTAATAATACTTTAAGACTTTGACTTTTTACTTGGCTTTTACTTGTTTTTTTCTTTTATTTGGAGTAATTTAATGGTATAGGTATTGCTTTTAAGTAAAACATCTTAATACATTGCTAATAATGCTACTCTCTCCCTCAGGAACGGCTGATTGGAGAGATTGAGAAGTTGAGAAATGAGATCGACCATTTGAAGCGCCGCAGTGGGGCGTTTGGAGATGGAACTCACCCTCGGTACACACAGACATACCTCCTCCTCCACACACGCTCTCCCTCTTACACACACCCTCTAACATAGCACGTTATTGATTGTAAGGTGTTTTGTGTATATAATCTCAGGTCTCACCTGGGTAGCTCCAGCGACCTTCGCTTCTCTGTGGTGGAGGGCCAAGATGGCCACTATAGCACAACTGTGATCAGGCGGGCACAGAAGGGCAGACTGTCAGCGCTACGGGACGACCCAAACAAGGTGCTGATAATGTCTTTATCGGGCCGAAACAACATGAGAGTTCCTCACATATACGCACACTGAGCAGGATGGCCAACTTGCAGATCACAAGATCATGAGTCAACTATTCTTCTAACCACATACAACTCCTTACCAGTGCTCTATCCAAGTTCATGTCTGCTTTGCTAATAAGAGTCAGTGCTTGGCTGATGTATGATGATCTTCATACCTAACTTACCATTCTCTACTAACCTCTCTGTCTCTCTGTCTCTCTTTCACCTGCTGCCATGGACATGCTGTCTGATGTAAGTTCCTTGTTCATCCATTTCTTCTCATAACTGGCCACATACTTTTTCCAAGTGTCATATTGTATTTTTAAATGTATGCATTTAATCAGAATTAATGTTGCACATTCTTTAGGAACATTTATTTATGATCAAAATCTGATCAATGCATGTTGTATTTAAAATGTGGTCTATGCCTACATACGTTAAAAGCTGTGTGTTTGTTGTATCCAGGTGTGTGCGGTGTTTGAACAGGACTACCCATCTCTGCGTGGGAGCGTCAGCCATCTCCTTGGCAGCGACATCGAGGGAGAGTCAGACCTGGATGATGACGTTAGCTCGGCCCTGCTTTCCCCCAGCGGCCAATCAGACGCTCAGACTCTCGCTCTCATGCTGCAGGAGCAGCTTGACGCTATCAACGAAGAGATAAGGTGCCAAATCACAACCACATTAGATTGCACCACATGACAGTTTCATGATCCCCATGGGGAAATTGGGTCAGTGCAGCAGCAAGAAACAGGATACAGATAAGAGGAGAACAAAGTACTAAAGATAATACAACAAATAATTACAAGAAAAAGGACTTTTGAAGATACTAAAGCAAATAATGGTGGTGCTGCTGCTTCATCTTGTTAAAGCAATGCATGTAGGCCTGTGGCCAGACAGGATGCACCAGAGCTGATTGTGGCATTAGATATAGAGATGATATAATTTTGATAAGACTCCTCACTCTTCAGTTCTTATTCTAGCTGGAAGAGGATGCTGTTTATTACAGTTTACAGTAAACAAGGTCCTCCTGTGACACCTCAGAATATGCTTCTGGTGAGGAGATGTAAAATAGATGCTGATTATGCTGCAGAGGAGCCAGACTCCCTCAAAGTAATAAAAATAATGTCCATATTATAAATGTCATTTTTATTTTCCAATATTTGCCAGGATCTTTGGATTTTTACATTTTTTATACAATATAAATAAATGGTGATTATTTCAAAGATTCATGCCATAATTCAAATCAAAAGTGATTTTATCTTTTTAACCCACATATGGACTATTTTGATATTATTATGGATAGAATTTTATTATCACAGAAATACAAGGTGTGTATTGTAAAGTAATGCATGTGAACTTAAGTATTCAAAGATAACAATGTATATGTGCATGTTTGTATGTTCACAGGATGATCCAGGTGGAAAGAGAGTCAGCAGACCTCCGCTCTGACGAGATCGAGTCCCGCGTGAACAGCGGCAGCATGGACGGACTCAACGTCACACTTCGACCCCGGGCCCTGCCCACCTCCGCCACTGCCCAGTCCCTGGCATCATCCTCCTCCCCGCCCACCAGTGGCCACTCCACACCTAAACACCACTCGCGCAACACCAGCCACCATCTAGGCATCATGACTCTGGTCAGAGAGCACACACGCTCTATCTGTAGAACACACACAAATAGCAGTTTGTTCATTGTGAAAAGCTGAATCTGTAATTTTGTGTTGTTTTGTTTGATAGCCAAGTGACTTGAGGAAACACCGTAGGAAAGTAGCAGTAAGTTTACAAACACAACAAAAATTTTATGGCTTTTTTTGTCCGACTGTGGCTTTTGTGACTGAGCTGAGCTGCTTTTATTACTCTTCCAGTCTCCAGTGGAAGTGGACAAAGCTACTATCAAGTGTGAGACATCGCCTCCCTCGTCCCCCCGTAGTTTAAGACTGGAAACCAATTTTGCCCAGTTCACAGGCAGTCTAGAGGATGGCAGAGGGTAAACACACACACAGTATAATAAATCAGCATCAGTACAGACTACCCTTCAGCTTTCTACTGACAAGTTTTGAATGATCCCTAATAATGTTGAAGACTATAATCATGAATTTTTTTCATACACACAAAAACAATTGTTTACCTTACTTATTCGTGGTTGACAATAATATATTATACTATAGATTCTGGTGTAACACAATTTACTCTGTTTTAACTGTTTGCAGCAAGCAGAAAAAAGGTATCAAGTCATCTATTGGTCGATTGTTTGGGAAGAAGGAGAAGGGGGGTCGAATGGAGCAGACTGTAGGCAGGGATGGACAGCCTCTACCGGCCTTATCCGGTACTAAATACTGTACCATACACCTACATTGATGCAAACTTTGTGAGATTGTTGGTGATTTAAAGAGATATAAATTAACACTGCTTTGCTGTATTTCAGACTTTGATATGGGCATCGGTGACACTATGACTCTGGGAAAACTGGGTACACAGGCTGAGAGGGACCGCAGGATGAAGAAAAAGTAAAAGCATCCAGTTTTCTCTGATGTTGTGTGTTTTTCCTCTCATTATATTAATATATTCACAAAGCCTTTTCTGTTGTAATTCTCACTTCCTTCGGCTTTCTTTGTCCATTTCTCTTTAGACACGAGCTTCTGGAAGATGCCAGAAAAAGAGGCCTGGCTTTTGCCCAGTGGGACGGCCCTACTGTTGTCTCCTGGCTTGAGGTACTCGCCTAATCGTCTTTAATATCTGCCAACCTTACTTTTTTACAAAACCTCCCTCTATCTTGCTGTCCTTATGTCAGGCTGCTACTACATCTAATATTAAAAAGAATACAATGACATCAAATACGAGACAGACCATTACAGCCTAATCTGCACTCCCTTCACTCTTGTATCTGACCTTTTATGGCGACAATGGTGGTGATGTTGAATATCTTGATGACTCTCACCAGCTGTGGGTGGGTATGCCGGCGTGGTATGTGGCAGCCTGTCGTGCCAACGTGAAGAGCGGAGCCATCATGTCAGCTCTGTCAGACACAGAGATCCAGCGGGAGATTGGCATCAGCAATCCTCTGCACCGACTCAAACTCCGCTTGGCCATCCAGGAGATGGTGTCCCTCACCAGCCCGTCTGCACCACTTACCTCCAGAACGGTAAAATAATACAACAAATACACCTTTATGACCACAAATACACGGCTGTCTTCATGCATGTTAACGTGCATACACAAATATTTAAATGAGCACATGAACCTACACACAAATTGAATCGAGGATTGTGAATATGAACCCTACACAAAATACTCAAAACTCTTCCACTATTGGGCTTTACCCTCACTCTGCACCCTGGGGTGATGACTCTTTTTTAGTTTTTTTGTTCTTCTGTTCAGACTGTTGACGACCAGACTTGTCCTTTTCTGCTGCCATAAATTGCATGAGGTTCTGTGGAAAAACCACACACAAATAGTCCCAGATATAGCTACAAGCTACCTGCCTGAAATACACTCCCTCCCTTGGCATCACTCAACACAATGTTTGTCTGTGTGTGTGTGTGTGTGTGTGTGTGTGTGTGTGTGTGTGTGTGCGCGCGTATGTCTTTGTCTGCGTCTGTGGGTGTGCGACGGGGTCGGTATGCGTGAAAATGTACACGAGTACATTCTTGGGTGTGTTTTTGTTTTTGGTGTGTGTGTGTGTGCATGTGTGTGTTTGGGTGTGTTTTCGTCCTCTGAGCAGTCCTCCGGAAATGTGTGGGTGACTCATGAAGAGATGGAGAACCTGGCTTCCTCCACTAAAGCGGTCAGTACCATCTGGGTGCTCCCCTCCCCTTTCCCCCCACCAAACTCTCTCACACTCACACTGTCCCCACCGCGACACACATATGTCATCTCCCTGAAGACCCCTTTAAATACTCACTACATCACGCATTTTTGTGCCTGTGCTGGTATTTGTATGTGGGTGTCGGATGTAACTGTTATAATCTGTGGTCATGTGGTCTGTGTCTACAGTTAACTGATTTGATTGAAAGGTAACTGTAGAGTAAGAGCTTTGCGCGTGTGTTTCTGAATGTGTGTCTTTGGTTACCCTCTGTCTCTCTAACCTTGTATACTGTCTCTACCATGCGGCCACTCAGGACAATGAGGAGGGCAGCTGGGCACAGGTAAGGTTGTTGATCTGCTAACATCTGTCCACACACACTCTGAAACTGTGCCCACGCTCTTCAATAACACAAACACACATACGTGTATTTGCGAAGAAGAAGGGTGCCAATAATTGTGAAAGAAACACAGCAGCAAAGGGGGGGACACGATATATTTAGCAGAAAATAGAGTAACTGGGACATTGTTTCTGAAAATACATGTAGCTTTTGCTGAGTTTATCAAATGTAATTTTTTTTTTATTGATTTGAGCACCACAAACTAATTCTGTTAATTTTACTGGAGTGTCAACACTAAGTTCAGATAAAACTAAAACTAACTGGTTAAACACTCTTTTTGTAATTTGGTGAACCGATCCTTTAATAAACAATAATGATTTTGTTGATGCATTTGTGGCACATAGTCATGGTTCACCCACTCTCTTCATCTACCTGATTACAACTCTTTTCAGGACTCTGTGAGTGTGTACAGACTGTGCTCGATAGACCCTTTTCAAGGAAGACATTTTGACTTGTCAAAGCAGGAAAATTAAAGATGTAACTAATAACGCTAACAATGTTTCCATTCCATTAAGTGTCCTAGTAAACTATGCCAGTGAGGGAGCATGCACAATACCAGAACCCTGGAACTGACTCACCTATATGGAATATAGCCATCAGTAATGTTATTAATTCCTACCTGTATTTTTCCTGCTTTGACAAGTCAAAGTGTCTGCTTTGAAAAGACATGTGAACATGTACAGTATATAATCCTGAAACAGAGAGCAGTATCTTTCTTTTTCTGTTGAACAAATTAGTAACATTATGTCCTCCTCTCCCTGTAGACTCTGGCATATGGTGACATGAATCACGAGTGGATAGGGAACGAATGGCTGCCCAGCCTCGGCCTGCCTCAGTACCGCTCCTACTTCATGGAGTGTCTGGTGGACGCACGCATGCTGGACCACCTGACCAAGAAGGATCTGAGGAGCCACCTCAAGATGGTGGACAGCTTCCATAGGTCTGTAGCAGGGCGATTAGCTTAGCTGCTGTTTGATCAGCCTCCCCTTAACTGGATAAATTAGCAATGGACATGAGAAGGCTAATGATGCATTTGTGCTTTTCACTATGTGTGTATGTGAGCTTGTTTGCTCTGTCATGTTTGTGTGTGTGCATGTGTGTTTACCAGGGCTAGTCTGCAGTATGGGATTATGTGCTTGAAGAGACTCAATTATGACAGGAAAGACCTGGAGCGCCGGAGAGAGGACAGCCAACACGACATGAAAGGTACACTTCACACACACCCTGATACACACAGTGACAAATAAGCACGCGCACACACGTTCAAACACTAGTTAACAAGCTTGCACATGTCCAGTCTCATCAGGCCAGAGTACCACCTAGTGGTTTTGCCTGATATTGTCAATTTGGCCTGAGCATAGAAACAGCTGCACCTTAGACTGTCAAAAAGCCAACTGAAGCAGGCCTGCAATCTTATGATCCAGAGCCCCACATACCGAGAGTATGTATCCACACACACACACACACACACGCACACACACACACACACACTTAGATCCAGCCAGTCCTTTCGCCCTTTTGACCTTGAGTTCTGCACATGAACTTGACTCAGCTGTCATGGCAAATCACAATCCTGCCCTGTTTATACACACACACACACACACACCGCCTGTTCCAACTTGGAAAGCTGGCTGACAGCTGTGCTTTAAATGAACAAAGGGAGTGTGCCAGTGAGTTGACACTATGTGGACATGCACATTATCTCTTTATCTTTCTTTCTCCTTCTAGCTCTCTTACTCGAATTCAAGTTGCTCCTATTTGGCTGGTAACGATATGTGCTGACAGTCTGTATAACACTGTGTTACAGTACCATGAATCTGAGCCACTCTCTTTTACTTCAGATGTGTTGGTGTGGACCAATGAGCAGGTAATTCACTGGGTCCTGTCCGTTGGTTTGAGGGAGTATAGCGGCAACCTGTTGGAGAGCGGTGTCCACGGAGCGCTCATCGCACTGGACGAGACCTTTGACTACAGCAGCCTAGCGCTCATCCTGCAGATCCCTATGCAGAACACACAGGTGGTTATAGAGGAAAACACAACTGTTTACACTCAGTATGCAATGACTGAACTGATTTGAAGAGAGGAAGATATCAAGTGATGTATGATCTGATTTTTAAGGGATGTTTGGTCCATTTTGAGGCCAGTCTTAATGAATTATAGAATACTGACTTAAAACCCTAAATTTGTATCAACACAATCTGTTTTATTTTGCATCATAATATCCTACACGTTCAGCACTTTCTTTCCGTAATGTAAGTTCATGGCAGGCTTTTTGGCCTTTCTGCAACCAGTCAATCTTCCAACAGTCACAGTTGTTGAGGTTTTTATGAGATTGGTTGATTAATTTTTTATGACGCAGTGGTTAGTGTGTAGTCAGCATATCTTTCTACTGCTGGCTACGTGGTGCCAACATCTACTCCTGCTTCAGATTCTGTATCAGTTGTTGTCTGATCAAATAGGCTCTGTTGTTCTCACTTAGAATTCACTTAAAAGAATATCCTGGCTACAGTATTTGGTACAGATTACTTGCCCACAGTTTCATGTTCACATGAGGAAAAAATCAAGAAGGTTACACTTATTTATCCTAGGATTTTTTTTTTCATTTTACGGATATTTCCAAAGCTTTCATTGGCATTTTGCCATCAGCACCTGATAATTTCTGACCTTGGTTAGTTAACCCACAGCGTCACTGTGTCCCCTGCTGACAGAGGTTGTGTGTGTGTTTTTCAGGCACGGCAGGTTCTGGAGAGGGAGTTCAACAACCTGTTAGCCTTGGGGACTGACCGCCGACTAGAGGAGGTGACCTCTCAAGCTGCTGCTTTGATCAAATACTATATTATTGAAAAAGGGCCAATTGTCTGACCTCGCTTTTCTCTCTGTCCCCGTAGAGTGGGGATGACAAGTCTTTTCGACGCTCTCCATCATGGCGCAAGAGGTTTCGGGCACGTGAGGGAGGGGCAGGGCTGGGCATGATGGCAGGCTCCATGGAAACACTGCCTGCCGGCTTCCGCATGCCCTCCATGTCCATGCCGCCATCTGTGAATTTGATGCCCAAGAAACAGCTCCAGCCTGAAGGTGTGTTACAATACTAACCCAACCTCTTCTACCTTATCCTATGTATTTTTCTGTGTATCTATGTGCTACTTTCTGCTTGTCCTGACTGACTAACTGCATGCTGTTTCCTCTTTGTTCTGCTGCGCCCAAACCCCTTTGTGCCTATGTCCTCTCAAGCTCCTCCCCCGGCGCCCCCGAGACTCGACCCCTCGGCCGTGCGGACCTATTCATGCTAACTTCTCTCTGCTTACTAACAGGAGCGCTAATGCTAACAGGTAAGCTAACAAAACACTACCTGAAACTGCTAAACTTACAGGTAAGTGCGCTTTTAACCAGCATTGCCCAGCTGTGTGGCATGAGGAAGGAATGTGGCACTAACTTTACAGTACAAGGCTAATTTACTGGAAACGCTGATATGTGTATCTGAATTCATTCACTATTAGTCTGCTGGAAGTAACATTTTTACCATAACAACTTCATAACAACTTCATATGATAATGGGTCAATTTTACATTTTGAGCAAAAAATAATAATCATGTTGGCCATCTACGGCCACCGTAGTTTCTCCTACACACTGCACAGTCTGTTCTCATTCCCAAGTCGTCAGATACAGGTGCAAGAAGTGTTCAGTTAGTTGTGATCTATAATTTCACCACTAAGTGCCACTAAATCCTACACACTGTCTATAAATCCACAAAAGAAAATAGTCCCTAATAAATGCACTACTATTACTCCTGTTCGAGTAATGTTTGCTGAAAACTAGCTGTTTTAAGAAATTATTTACCATTTTCTGGAATATTTCTCGGAATGATTAATAATCATTACATTAGAGTTTTGTATGACGATAATTATATTACAGATTTCTTGCTCTGTCCAAGTTTTTGATTGATTTATTCAACTATTAGCTAACAAGTTGTTACATGGTTTATAATGTTTCAGTGTGTCATCCAACCATTCTTCCACCCTTAAAAAAGTAATATTGATTTTATTTTTTTCATGTGCTATGAGAATTATTAATTATTAAATTATATTTTATTGATTTTAATTATTGATTTTTTAGCATTTATGGATGTTCACCAATTTCATGCCATGTCATTAATATATCTGTATATAGCTTGTCTTGTACATGTCAAGTAAAACCAAGTAGCAGACATTAATCCAGTCTTTCTCTTACTTCTTTCCTCACTTTCTTCACCTTTTTTCTCTCTTTCAGTGCATTCTCATTACCTATACGGACACATGCTTGCGGCCTTTTGAGAGTGATATGCCAAATCTGGAGAGGGAGTCTTGGGTGCCACTGATAGGGGGTCTTCACCCCTTTGTTGCCCAGCCTCACCTCCCACCTTTCACCTCTCACCTCTCCTTCGGACACGTGCAATACAGAGGCCAACTCTGACCTTTGAACTCTGAGAGTGCTCATTGGCTGCGCTCGCTGCTGTAAAGGAGACTCATCCCTGTCTCTCCCAGTTTACCCCAGTGCTCCCAGTAGCCTTGTTGTTGTGGTGTTGTGCTCCTGCTCCCCTGGTCTCAGCTGTGGGTTCTTGTCCTGGTTCTAATCTCTCAACATGGCTAAGTCCAAACCAATCTTTCTGTGTCATCCCGTCCTAGGCAACATGAAAGTGTGTTAGTGTAAAAAAGATTTAAAGGGATGTTGACAAGTCATTGATTTGGACTTGGGAATGATGAATACTTGTATAAATGGCAGATCCCACTGCACATTGACCCTCTACCGGTTATGCAAGGTATTACTCATTTATCGTCTCTGTACATAAAATGGATGACTTATGTTTTTTATAGAAATATTATATATATATATATATATATATTGGAAATATATATGGAAAATAATATATCATTGCTGTATGAAACCCAATGCCCTGTATTCGATAGTGACTGTTCTCTCTCTCTATCTCTTTCTTTCTCTTTCTCTCTGTGTCGGACCTTTGTGTGTCTTTTGCTGTATGCTGTAAGTGTGTGAATCGTTAGTGGGAGGGTCTCACTAAGGAGGGGATGTGTTTTTACAAGGACTCTTCACAGGTTCATGGGTCCAATTTCAGACTTCTCTCTTTGCCTCTTCTCCTGTTCTTTCCTTTTTCTTCCTCCTCTTTTGACACTATGTAGCTGTTACCTCTCCTCTCTTTGCCTCTCTCGCCTTCAGTATGACACTATGTAGCCTAGAATAGAGAGAATCCTTTAATATAAAGAGTGTGTGTGTGTGTGTGTGTGTGTGCGTGCATGTGTGTGTGTATGAGTGAGCAAATGAGTTTCTCTGCTCAAGACTTGTTGAGAGGTTGTGTGTGAAAGGCCGACCCCAGCCATGTGACCATGACGTTTCTCTGTGGATGGATAGTGTGATCACTGTAGCTCCTCTCTGTTGATTCCTTACTTTCTCTCAAATCAAACTGTAAACTGCTGCTCAACATCAGCCAATGATATAGACATAAAACTGCTCTAAGTGACGGACTCGTCTAATCCTGTTCTGTCGCCTCCCATTTAGTTGCCATGGAGACGTGCCACTGAGCAGTCAGTACTCTTGGCTGGACAACTCCTCATCCAGTGAGAACACAGCATATGAACCTGTGAAGTACTGGATGGGTGTACAATATTTTGGTTTATTTTTTTTTAAATTATTTTACAGTTTTTCCAAGGTGTCTAAAAGGTGTAATGTGCTATGTGGCAGCTATGAGTACTGTGTCTTTATTCCAGGTGTGAAACAATGCTGACAAATCAAGATTTTATTATTTGGCTATTTAAAAAAGTGAACTGTATTTATGACACTATATAGACATGAGTAAAGCTGTTTTTTAAAGATTTGGATGTTGTGTTCCTTTTGGGGTTATTGCAATCAGAGTATATCATTGGTGGTTAAGAACTGTGACAAAAATTATATTGAAAATGGTCTTTATTGCAAGAATTGGACAGAAAATATTACTTTTCTGAACATCTACAAATACACGACAATCTTAGTTATAAAAGTCAAAAATAAGTTAGCAAAAAATAAAAAATAAAATGGCAAAACCACTCTGTAGAAAAAGGGAACGTATTTACATCACTAGCATTCATAACCAGTTTAAATTAAGCAGATCTTGGTCAAAACTGCCATGGTACATATTGGCCCCACAAATAAACTCATGTTTTTTAAGCATAAAAACACACACAAAAAGAATGAAAGAAGGTCAGGGAAAGGTATCGAAAAGAGGAAAACTTAAATTAAGTAAGGAGAAAACCAGGCTTTATCATTCCTCTGTGGCTCTATCAGAGTCTAAAAGAGATTCACTTTAGTAACTAGTTGGGTTCATGCAGCAAAGTCCTTGAATCTCTAGTTAGGCTAAGCTCCTGTGGCTCTGACAGACAGGTCTGGACCACGGGATAAGGCAGGGAATAAAGGGAATAAGGCCTCATTGTGAACAGGAGGAATTCAGTTTGGCTAGCAGACCCATTGATCAGCAGAGTTACAATTCAAATAAATCACTGCTTTTCAGTTTTAGCATAAGACACTCAGATCAGTAGAGCTGAAAAACTATTTGAATTGGAATTTAGGGCCAGTTGTCAGCCTTCTTTGCCAATATTGTCATTTTCACTTTTTGTCTGTGGCTCTTTGTGTACCTAATGGGTCCGCTGTACGGAGGGTCTATTTGGGAATGTCCATTGGAAAGGCCACAGCTCCGTCTGCTGCAGTGATGCTGTCCACGATGGAGGTCAGGGCACGCATGTTCCCCTGCTCTGGAGAGTCAGCAGCACTCAGGAGATCTGGAAAGAAACCCAGTCACACACAGTATCTGAGTAAGGGGGCACTGCTATGTTTGTGCTGTCTAATGAAACTGTGTGTGAACTGTACTCACCCTCGCTGCTGTAGCTCTGTGTGCATTGCTCGGGAGTGCTGCTCCACTCTGGGCTACTGCAGCAGGTGCTGCCCGAACTGGGCTCGCTTGACGACGACACCTGTTACCATGGAGATGCACACACAGGAGTTGCTGTCAGTCACTCCGTGTTATGACACGGCACACCCCGCCCCACACAGAAACACTACAGTGCTGTGTAATACCAAACACACACACACACACACACCACCAGTTCATCTTGTGACCCCTCAGTGGCAAATGTTTGCGATGAGCACTATCTCAACAAGAGAATCGAGACTTGTCCATCAGAAAATACAGTTGAATACAAAAGAGATCTTGTAACAAACCATTTAACAGAGACGTTAGATTGTGGCCACTCTGAATAAGTCTGTTTTAGCTTATATCTCTGCACCTGTCTCATCAGTTTGTTATTTTCGTCTCTCTGAGCCTTTAATTATGTAAAAGCTTTCTATATTCTCACACTGAAAACTGGATTATATTCTTAAAAACCTCTTTGAATAATTGCAATACAATGACAAATGTATCTGTTCGTTCAATGCCTTGATGGATACCTCAACTTATCTCCCCAACTGAAACCTGAAAATGTATCATTTCTGAAGCAGGCTTTAGGGTGTATCAGTTTGTCAAAGCCACACATTTTCAAGATCATTTTTACTTTGACCATTTCATGCCTATCTAGTGTCCCTCTTTCTCTATTTTACCTTTCATCTTTGTCTTAACATCTTCTGCCTCTATCCAACTAGTGCATTACATCTTTTCCCAGTCTGTTCTTTCTGTTTGCCTTTAGGCTCTGTCCTCAGTGTTAGATATGTGACCTTCTGCTTCTAATCAGCCCTCCTCTTTCCTACTCACTCTGGGTTGGGTCGCGCTGGGTCGGTAGTGCAGTCCCTGCTGTCCCGTCTCAGTGTCCTGCTGGTTGAGGGAAGACACCAGGGCCTGCAGCCTTTCGATATACTGGATGGCACTCCGCAAGATCTCCACCTTGGGCAGCCTCTGGTTTGGGTTCATCAGAGTGCTTCTCTTCAGAGCATCAAAGGCCTCGTTCACCTTCTTCAGGCGCCTCTTCTCTCTCATTGTGGCCGCTCTCCGACGGTCCATGGTAACCGTCTTCCTTTTGCACAGCTTACAGGCCCAGGGCAGGCACTGTCCCGGGCAGTGGGGTTCAGAGTGAGGTGACAGGCTGGACGGAGAGGCTTTGTCCTCTGTACCTGTCACCCCGACTCCAACACCCCCTGACAGATTCCCACACAAGCCCATCATGGAGTTCCTATCCTGGTAGGCGCCTTGGTCATACGCCCCAGGCAGACGAGAGGGGAAGTAGCTGTCCCCTCCCTCGTAGAAGCGCTGGTCAGGGAAGAAATAAGGGTTGGTCTCGAAAAGCTCCATACTGGACAACGCTGTGGTCTGAAAAGGGACAAAGATTCCTGCTTCCCCAGGAACTGCTCTATTGTAAGTGGTCTTCGGTCCTGCGCCTGAAGCGTGTGTGTCGGAGTGTAGGTGTGTGTGGCTGTCTTGCCTGGGTTTGTGATGAGTGGAAGACGTGTGGAGAACAACTGGTGTGGAGCAACTGTAGGCTGGCATTTAAACCCCTCTGCCTGCTGCAGGATCACAGGGTTAAATTTAGCACGAGCCCCCAGAAACCTGACACGACGTTTAGCTGTTGCTGCACATCTACACTTCACATCTCTGTTGGGCCCTGCTCTCTAGGGCTTTATGGCCCATTTGTGTGTGCGTGTACGTGCCCTTGTGTGGGTCCATGTGCTCGTGCGTGTTTTAAGAGGCCAGGATATGATCAAGTTGCTGTGGAAATGGGAGAGATAACCTCGGATCAAAGATGTCCGTCTTAATGAGCTAATCCCAGACTCGCGTCTCCCTCCATGACACCATACGTGAAGTCCCCTGCCATGGTGGCTGGAGGAGGGGCACGGGCAATAGGGACAGTCTGGAAACAGCTGTCACTTCTGCTAGGAGCCAATGATATGCAATGACAAGAAGTTGTTTGGCAATAAGTTCTAGATGGAAATGATGAGATTGTTGTTTACCTTAAACTGGGTCACAGGTTAACATTTGTAAACTGTCGTGACTGAAGGTCCAGAATGATAAACTTAGTCGTTACTAAATATAACAGCTCAGGTGACATAAAAGCTCGTGCCATTGTTGGGTCTTGGTTTTATGTAACCACATTCATATCTACTGACTTTCCTTCCTAGATGATTGCACAGTGTGATGCAAGTGACCTTGTGAGCTAAACTGGACTCAGTCAGACAGGCCTGTGCAGGAATGGACAGAGTATAGTACAGTAAGTTGAGAACGAAGTTGACACTGGCTCCTGTTACTCTCAGAAATCAAGGGACAATAATCAGAAGACCACGCAGAGGTATGGCCTTCGTTGTCCTGACCTCTTCTAGTCAGTCATAGTGTTAGCCTAGCCAGTGGGTGTTAATCCTTCCAGGACATGTTTCACCTCATAGCGCACCAGCTAATTCAGACTGGCTTCCACAAGCATGGACAAACAGCCAAAACACACACTTCTGTCAGCAGAGAAGTGGCCTGGAATGACAGGCATAGTGTGAAATGTGTCACATCCTTGTGTATCCTATATCAGTACCGTAGGTTTATAACAGTGACACATACAGTATATCTGGCAGGAAATGTTTGCTGGAGACAGGGTGATTCCTCTGATTTGTGGACACACTATATAATATACATGCTTTTGTCTGGAGCATACCACTGCCAATTACACATCAAATGTCCTTTCTCTTTTTCTGAATGTCTTTACTTTCATCTTTCTAACAGAGACTAAAAAATGATTTAAAAAAAACCCATCTTCTTAAAAAATTGCACCATAACATAACATTGTAGGTTAATATTCACACAATAATTTTTCACAGGCTATATCATACCATATAATATATCATTTTGATTTCAAATCAATATTAAATCATAAAAAACTAACTGTAAAAATACATATAAAACTTGTCATTGATAAAATAAATGAAAACCTGCTTTTAATTTTTCTATTTATCATTCGATAGCTAATTTCCAACATTTCGAATCCTCTTCAACTTTTCTCATGCTTATAGAAATCATTGATGAATAGTCCAGAGAAGAATTGAAAGGACTGTGTGGCTAGCTTACCCAATATAGCTGGCTACAGCTTTTGTCATATTGCAAATAATGTACTGTACACAGCTGTAGCGTCACTGAACTGTCATTACAGTAGCTAAAACATTTGAGCAACAATGTTTTTGATTAAAGCAATGATATTTAAAATGTAATGGTAGTATTAGAACATAAATTTAAGTATGTAGGTGTAAGGACAATAGGAAGAGTGCCATTTTCCAATTATGCCATGTGATAGTGTACAGTAGAGCACAGTGCAGTTTTTTTTCTTCAGTTCTTTGTAAGACAAACTTCCATTCCTCTGAGTAATGAGACCTTCTCACTGTTGCAGGCTGATAATTTACTGATATGATGAGCATCTTGGGCTGTTTAAATAGAAATGCCTTTTAGAGAGCTCTCACATCTTAATGGGACTCTTAATTAGTACTTTATTAATGGTAGGCACACTGGAAGCCTAAATATAAGTAAAAACACAAAAAGTGCTAACAAGCAAGACGTACGTTGTCTGCTATATTAGAGTCATCAAGCTGCAGGCTGTTTGCAAGTAAAAGTCACATTTCTCATTTCACTAATTTCCTATTTTTACCCATTCCTATACTTTACCTATTCTTTAGGTTACTTATATTTCCTAATTTTAGTAAATTAACATTATTATTTACAATTACATTTAGACTAGAGTTATGGGTTGCTTAAAATCTTTTGCCTGGCGGTGGTGAGTGAAACTATTCCACTCAATGTAAGATGAAATTACTTGTTGATACAGACAGAGGGGTCAGCTCTGGGA